GATCTGTTGGTGGACTTCAGCCTGTTTGGCAAACACGGTGTTTGTTCAGTCGTCCGGTTCGTTCTGCAGCAGCAGCCAGACTCTAGTTTCAGACACGGCGTCCTGATGGGGTTTGAAGTTTCACCTGAGGTAGGTGGAGCTCTTTAAGAATCCCTCAGCTGTCTTTTTAAGTCTTTTACAGATTTTTGAGGCAAAAAGTCCCTCTGACTGGTTCTGTCTGGGCTGTTTGTCACACGATCAGCCGACAGGTCGTTGCTGTAAACCTCTGTGCCGCGTTTGTCTTTGTCTCTGATCAAACTGTAAACAAAAGCAGGCGAGGAGACAACAATGGAATCGTTCATGTTTTATAAATACAAGTACGAGTCTTTACTTCGACTCCGGCCTGTGCCCGGGCTCCGTGATTCTCTCTGTACATTTTATACATCTTTACATGTTACGTTAGCATTTTATTTCCTTCATTCTCTGCGTTTCAGCGTCCTAAATGGCGCCTCCTCGGTCCCCTCCGCCGCCGCCTTCTCCTCCTCCCGGTCCCCTTCGAGTTCTGAAGTCGTGCCAAAGTTTGACGAAAGGTTCTCGGTTCTTCCAGATCAACTCGTGGCCGAACAGAACGTACCAGCTGAGGAGAGAAGAACAAGTCTGATTAAAAACACGTCACTGCAACGTCGTCACAAAACAGAATAAATCAGTTTTCCAAATATCTCAACGTCCAAAACACGTCAGCGAGGAGGCCCTGGTCCCGCTGCACCTCCTCGGCGGGCTCCCTTTCTACAGCTCGTGTCTACAGTCTCGCTCTTTTCTTCACTCAGGAACACAAACAGGAAATCGACAGCTTTGCCTTCACACTTCCGCTTCTACCTATTAACCATCTGATCCAGAGAGGTCAAACATAAGTCCCAGGGACCAGAATCGGCCCGGAAAAGACTGCAGTCTGGCTCTGGAAAATGTCAAGGAAGCCATCAATTTTGTACTTTTAACTGTATTTCCACATTTTACAGCTGTTCCTATGGATACAGACGTCGCCCACGGCCACTCACACTAAACCAACGTGATTAAGTAATTAAGTTCAACAATTAAGTGACAGAAAAGCTGTTTTTTTTCCCACCATCTAATATAGAAAATTACTGTAAGAAGGTAAAAAAAAAAACTTCTCTGTGAATTAACAAAGAAAATTAAAAATGAACCTTTATAAATAAAAAATCGACTAACTTGCTAACTTACATTCCAAACATGGCTCCTCCTAAATGAGCAGCATGGTCGAAAAACCTCCATCCAAGCACCAGGCCTGCGGTATCCATGGCAACGATGGCCTTGAGAGCCTGCAGACAGACACGGAAACAGAGCGCGAGTTCAGTCAGGTCAAAGCCAGCAGCAGGAGCTGAAGCTCAGGTGGGTTTCAAAGCAGCTTGCAGATGTGCAGCAGCTGCAGGTGGGCTGATGCAGAAGATGAAAAAGAGATCTCTGTCCAGGTAGACTGGGCGAGGAGAGGGGTGGGCGGGGTCTTACGTTGCCAGCGGTGAAGGTGAACATGGGGAGGAAGATGATGGCCAGTTTGGCTTCAGGTATTTTGGTACAAACAGCAGCGAGGACGGTCATGATGGCGCCAGACTGAAAACAGAAACAGGAACTTCAGGCTGTTTATTTATTGAGAACATTTACAGACGTCCACCAAAGAAAATCGCTCAAAAGAATCACATCAGTGTGTTCGCACTGACCTCCTAAAATCTACACGTCCTCTAAAATAAAACCATAAAACAGACGTGACTCTGAGCGAGGTACAGTTTGACCTGTGAAGCAGTCACTCACCGCTCCGAGAGATGGGCCGAACCTCCCCGTGGCCATCTTGCACACATAACTGACAAACGTAGAAATAACACCTGAAAACGGAAGAAATAAAATCAACGTCACACTCATAAACAAACACAGATAATCTCAGAGATTACACCACAGTGAAAAGCACCTGCCGACAGGTACACGGCCATGAACTGCTCTCGGCCCAGCATGGAGACGGCGCTGGTGGAGAAGCTCCAGAGGACGTACATGTTGGCCGCCATGTGGAAGAACGAGAAGTGACTGAAGGCGGAGAGAATCATGGGAGAGCACAGAGTCCCTGCGGGGCAACAACAAACAGCCACAGTTACAGAGGCTCAATGGGAGACCCTGAACGAATCGTGGCGGCGGTGGCGAGACTCACTGGAGGCCGGATTGGCGGTGAAGTATCTGATCATGAAGCGCTGCAGAGACGGCACTCTCCAGCAGCAGAACACGATGGCGTTAGCAGCAATGATCCCTGGGAAAAAAGAAATTCAATCCAGCAACCCCCATGTGAAAGTTCAGCGCTTTGCTCGTAAGCACTGACTCACCTGTTACCGTCCTCTGGCCCTCGCTCAGGCTGTTCCACCATTGGTTGATCTAAAACACAGACAGCCAATTAAGACTCAGATCAAAGTGTGGGTGGAGCCTGGTTACAGGTGATGACGTTGAACCCTCACCTCTTTGCGGATGTCTCCTCGTTTCTGAGGTCGCACCTTCTCCAGCCAATCGGCTCGCAGCTCGTCAAAGTAGCTCTGCACTCGAGACTTGAGGGACTCGTACTGCCAGATGGCCGCCGAGCCGAAGGAGCAGCCTGTAAACTGACATGGAGTCAACACCTGTCCGTGACATCATCAGCGGCGTCATCGCCACCGAAACAACATCACCTACCCCGATGGTAAAGACGAGCGGCCTGACGAGCCGGCCGAAGGCGCGTGGGGGACTGGGTGGAGCTTGATGGTCCCAGTGAGGAGCGGGGGTCCGGCGCTGTGCCGCGGCTTCAGAGGATTCGCTGTGGGCGGGGCCTAACTCCTCTTCCACCTTCTTGGACTCGGGTTTCCTTGCAGCTTTCCTGAAGCCGCATCTCTGCTGGAAGCTTTGAGGCCACCTGGTGGACAGACGAGGAATCACAACTGTGAGAAAAAAGTTCTCTTTAATGAAGCGCCAGCATCCTCCTGCCACAACCACAGACAGGAAGCACAACAAAAAATGTTGTTTCCTGTCAAAAGGCAAAAATAATTAAATGAAAAAATCATTAATAAATAACCAAAGGAACAAAGTTGTATCGAAGAATCTACATTTATTACTGACGCTCCACACACACAGGAAAGGCGATGGTAATTTCTGGAGATTTGATTGGTCAGTAGGTGGTGAGCAGGTTGTGTTCACAGCACAAGTTACCATGGTGAACTCCTGCTTCGCAGTACAGACTTCTACCAAGGACCCGACTCAATTCATCTTCCCGTGATTAGATAAAACCTTCCCGCTGAGAGTGGGTGCACTTTCTTTTTATCATGACTGTAAATGCACCAGTGTGTCAGAGTATAAACATCCTGCCAACCTTTTAATTATCTAAGGATTAGCTGCTGTCTCCTTTTACCAGCCGGCCTCAGACTGAGCAACAATCCCAAAAACATTTTTACCACAAACGTCTGGTTTTATGTCACTGAATCCATTTAGTAACTTTTGGTCATTGGAAGGGTCCGAGTGGACTGCTTGTGGATTATAAATAAAGCCACCTAAAGCAGCACAGGTCAGCTGGCCACAGGAGATTAACCCCTGGGTTTTAGGGCACCGACGGAAGCAGCGTCCCTCTGCACTGAGCCGGAGGGAGGACCTGAAAGAGCTTCGGAAGAACTGCATGTAATGGGCATGTATGTAAGGGGGCACACTGGGGTGTTTAAATAGGACAAACAGCTTTACATCACCGGATAATTAGATAAACACACAAACACACCCAGGCAGCTCCCCGCTTGTTAGCAGCGGCTAACGTTAACCTGCTAACAGCCCGTTGATTCTAAACTGTCCTTGAAGCTAACGGAGCTAACTCCGACAGCAAGGATCTGTCTGTTTGTAACCCGGGACGGGCTGCTCGCCCCCGCCTGTGGGGACTGACCTGCCACCCCTCACGGAGCTCCGTAAGCCTTCATCTCCGGTCAGTCTGAGCAGGACGGAGCAGCTCCTCCACGCCATATTGGATCCCGGTGACCCCGACAGGTCGGCCGAAGGGCCGCCTAGCAGTTGTTCATTTCCGGGTCACCAAGGAGCTCCGGCACTGTCAGCGACGCCCGCAGGACAGAGGCGGATACTGCACACAATTGAATCAACAAAACAAAATCCTCAACACGAAGCACAACATCCGCCTGTGACCTTCAAGGTAAAACGCTGCCAAAGTCAATACAACGAAATTTGATATTTATTTTCAGAGTGAAACACAAAAAATGCAAATGAGTGTCAGAGGAATAATACAAAAGTGTTCTGGTACTAATTTTTAAGAACAAGGTATGAAGATGAAGATATGAGAAAGAGTGGTTGAGAAGAAGAGAAATGGCGATCACTGAGGAGCAGTGTACTTTAAGAGTGTTGATGGAGAAGTATAGAGAAGGTCAGAAGGTGATGAACTGTGGATCTTTGTGGTCTTTGTGGATCTACAGAAAGTATGTGATGAGAGTATGGTATAGGTGGATGAGACTGTAGAAGAGAAGAAGAATGAAAGTAAATAGAAGCAATGAGCAGGAGAAAGGTGGAAAGGTGAAGAGAAGTATGGAAGATAGATACCCGGGAGTCAACCACCCAAAGGAAGGGTCAGTGCACAGGAGAGGTGGTAGAAGTAGAGGTTGCAGGCGGGGTGGAGTGAAAGGAGACAAGTGTCTGATATGACCGATACTTACGACAGAAAAATAGCACCAAGAGTGAAAGAGAAGGTTCAAAAGATGATAGTGAGACCTGCTGTGATGCATGGTTTGGAGATGGATGTTGAAGGTGGAGCTGCCAGAAGGAAAACAGAAAAACCTCTGAGGTGATCCATGAATACAGTGGAAGACATGGGGTTGGTGTGACAGAGGAGGGTGCTGGGATAGGTGGGTGGGTGAGATGGAAGCAGATGGTGAACGCTGATAATAATATAAGATAAGATAAGATAATACAATTTAATTAGGGGGCATTTATTTTGAAAGCGCTGAGTGGCGGAAGCGGGGCAGGTTTCCGGTGCTTGTGTTCACTGTGGAGTGGCTCGCCTTGGCTCGGTTCGGTTCGGTCCGCGACAGAGGAGCAGCTGCAGCGTGGGCAGTGCAGAACCAGCGTGTGACCGCGGAGGAACCATGGCGGCCCCTGCTCTCTCCGGCCGGGCTGGCTCGTCGGGCAGCCTCGGGAACAGCCCCACCATGGCCGCCGGGAGGCTGCCGCACGGCGGCGGGCCCGAGCTGGACTTCAGGTCGGCGGCCCGCATGGAGGATCTGAACCGGCTCATCCAGGAGTTCAGCAAGCACGACCAGCGGGAGTACGACGACCAGCGGGCTCTGGAGATCCACACGGCCAAGGACTTCATCTTCTCCATGCTGGGTGAGGACACGCACGCACACACACACGCACACACCAGGCTGCGGTAAACATCCTCGGACTCCACCTGATTATTTCAGCTGGTGTGAGCGCGGAGCTGCAGGGGTGATCCAGATGTGCAGAGGCTCAGGTGATGCACATCTGCTCCACCTGGACCGCATTAGGGATCGCATGCATCCTCTTAGCCTCTCTTCTTCTCGTTTCTTGGTTTAAAACGAACATAAAAGTGTAGCTGAGCTTCTCCAGGTGCTGCACAAATACGGAAATACTAAACACAGACGACACTAACACCACCCTCAGTGCAAGGTGAAGCCCACTACAATCCCAGCCTCATCCACACCTTCAAATATATTAAAAACAAACAAATCTTCACTAATATTAAACTTCCAGCTGTGAGGACTCCGACCAGCAGGTGTTTTTTCCGCACATAGCGCATCAGTGAGGAACAAATGTGCTCAAATATATTTAAAATTGTCAGATTAAATTCTGCCAAATTAGTTGTCCGAATTTCTTTTACAGCGAGAAATAAATCATCCGTTTTTTCCCCAAACATCACCCCGTGGGGCAAATGAAAAGATTCCAGTTCCTCTGACGTCCAGCAGAGGCAGCAGTGAGTCAGTCCCCCATAGACTCCCATGTTAAAACTGTACAGCAGAAATAAACATGATTGCAGCCTGATACACAAACTGTTTGTCTCTGTGGATAATGTCCTCCTTCGTAACACCTGTACAGTAGAAGAAAGTTTTTAGGGTTCACCTGGTTAAACTGTAATAAGGCTTAAAGTTTATATGATTAGGGGCGTGGCCTCTTTGACTGATGGGTGGATGATGACACAGGTGGCTGTAGCTGCTAGCTGACTGCTCAGCTTCACCTGAACTGGACCTCTGGACCGTGTTTGTGCTGTTGGAGCCTTTTGGAACATTTTCAATGTGTCACGTGACCAATAACATGGCTGCTGTGAGGTTACTGTAGTAACAGCTCATCCACGAAGGCGGAGCTCCGGTCCTGCTAGGGGAAATTCTTGGATTTTAGCATGTAGGATTTCTGCGGCACAACCAGGAAACTGATTTGTTGTGTGCACATGTGTGGAAATTATTTTATTTTATTCCCAATATTGGTGCAGGATTTGGAAAAATTAACTGTGTGAGGGGACGACGCATCTGTTGACCTTTGTGTTGAGCACTCTCTTTGATTGGTTGGTGATTTCAGTGCATGTGTACAAGCTGGCGCGCCGCGCTGAGCTGATGTCAGATGATTTGCGTCAGCGTCCTCCGTCTCATTTTTCTGGCCTTCGTGCTTTGATTATCCTGCAGTTTGCTGTGTGTTTGCAGGTGGCTGAATAATTTAGTTGTGTTGCTTTGTGGTGCAGACGCACAACACTCCTTGTGAATGCGTGTTTAGTTCACATCACTCGTGCTAAATCTGACTCTCTTAGAGGAGCTCTTCAGCTTCTGCCGTGCTGAATATTGTCTCGATGGCCTGTATGAGGTCACTGCGGTCAGGTGCAGGGAGGAGCTGTGATTGGCTCATGCAGGTGCGTGCTCAGTGCTCATTTAAGGAGCTCTTGATTCTGATGGTGGAGCGTGCACTTTCTGTATCGCTCGATGATGTTCGTTAGAACACGGGCACGAAAATCCAGATTAAAATCCAATGAATCGCTCCGCACAGTGTTTGTTTTTGTTTATTTATTCAAGAGTTTGTTTACAAACAGTTGACAGAGTTTGAAAATAAAGAAAATTATTTTCATTAGATATTTCTGTATACTCTGTTTGTATTAACATTTACTTTTTTTTATTAAATGATGATCTAATGTTTGACTTTGTTTCTCTGTAACATTTGAAGCGTTTGATCAGAAATAACATTTTAGTTTATTACGTTGACCTTTGAATTTATTTGAATTGCTCTACAGCACATTTGTTGTGTTTAGCATTTTGAAGATATGCCAAGATATAAATGGTAAATATGTCTTCACATTTCACTTAGGAGAAAAAATGAACCTCACACAGCTTTAATATCTGACATAAATCAGGAATTACAAGGTTATAATTAAAATTTTGAAGGCGGTGGGGCCCTAACCTTTCAAAATAAAAGGCCACAAATCTGCTGAGAGGACTCAGCTCATCATAACTGAACCTGAGAGGAAGTGCGGAGGATGGAGTGCAGGAATGCGAGTTTGATAATGACGCTGGAGCGCCTCCAAGATCTGGATGTAAAAAGACTCTCTCACACACACACACACACACACACACACACACACACACACACACACAGAAACTGCAGAAATGTCCATCTGACAGAGCCGCACACTCACATTAGTGTTCATTTTCTCAGATGTACTGACAGTCTGCCAGCTCGCACACGGCGCCTCCTCACAGAAATAACAAGCGTTCCAAAATGTCCCAACAGGAAGCGGCGCTCCATCCTGTCTTCACAGCTCGCTCACTGTTTGCAGCTCACAGACAGACCAAAAGAAAAGCGATGAGGCGGTTTTATGCTCCAGATTTAATCAATCCAATCAATAAAAAAGGAAAATCAGTCAGGAATTATAAAGTGAGTGTGAGACGTTCATTCAAAGACAGTGTGTATTTGCAGGATCGTCTCTGTACCGAGGTAACGAGCAGCCCCCGAGCTGAGTTCATCTGATTTATTTGAAACTGTTTCTGAGAGACGGACTGCGTGCGTCCAAACAACCGCAGCGCAGGAATGCAGTCGACAGCCAGGAAGTGTGTGCGCCTCTTCTTTAAACTCAGCAGAGCGGAAAACTCGTCCAGGCCGGCCCGGCCCGACCGATGGGGCTGAACGCAGTGACCCGTCGGGGCTCACGCGGTCCGCTTCCAAACACAGCGAGCTTCAAAAATAGACCTGACATGAAAGGAACTGGAAAACAGGAGGGCCAAACTGGACCCGATCCAGACTGAGCTGGACACAAACGAAGCAGACTTCGTTAAAAGCTCACCTTAACATCAGCCTCGTCTGTGAAAGCAAAAACCAGACTGGACAAATCGGCAGAGCCGCCGGTCAACGTTAAAGAATTTAATTACAGCAGGGGGAAGCTTTTAAATCGATGTTAGTCGAACTTTATCCAGATACGAATGAGGTGCTTCTGACGTCAGTCTATCTTGTAAGCAGACGTGCCCGGACCTGCCCTCCTCGGCCACGACCTGCAGCTCATCTGGAGGAACGTTGCGTCGTTCCGCCAATCAGTCAAGAGATTGGATCTCTGCAGTGCATCCTGGGGGTTCCTCGGGGTCTCCTCCCAGGTCCACATTCCTGAGGTCAGCCACAGCCATCCTGGTCAGATACTGAACCCGCTCAGCTGGCTGTAAGACGAGTATCTCGAGGCCTAAATCCTGACCCCCGGTTACACTTGTGTGCGTGGTGCTCGTTTTTACACATAATCTTTATCTGATCCTTTTTGTCGTCCTCTGTTTCAGGAATGGTCCAGAAGTTGGACCAGAAGCTCCCCGTGGCCAACGAGTACCTCCTCCTGTCAGGAGGCGTTCGGGAGGGCGTGGTGGACATGGACCTGGACGAGCTGAGCGTCTACGCCCGCGGCACAGACTACGACATGGACTTCACCCTGCTGGTCCCTGCGCTCAAACTCCACGACCGCAACCAGCCGGTGACCCTGGACATGAGACACTCGGCGCTGGGCCACTCCTGGCTCAGCCTCCGCCTCTTCGACGAAGGAACCATCAACAAGTGGAAGGACTGCTGCACCATCGTCGACCACATCAACGGCACCACCAACTACTTCTTCTCCCCAACACTGGTGGCTGACTGGTTCTACCAGTCCATCTCCTTGGTGCTGCTGGAGGTGCAGAAGAAGCCGCAGAGAGGAATGCCAAGGGTGGAGAAGGTGGAGCGGAACGGCACAATCATCTCCGTCATCCTGGGCGTCGGGAGCAGCCGGATGCTCTACGACATCGTCCCCGTGGTGTCGTTTAAAGGGTGGCCGGCTGTCGCCCAGAGCTGGCTGATGGAGAATCACTTCTGGGATGGGAAGATCACCGAGGAGGAGGTGATCAGCGGCTTCTACCTCGTCCCCGCCTGCTCCCACAAAGGCCGCAAGGAGAACGAGTGGCGCCTGTCGTTCGCCCGCAGTGAGGTGCAGCTGAAGAAGTGCATCTCGTCCAGCCTGATGCAGGCGTACCAGGCCTGCAAAGCCATCATCATCAAGCTCTTGTCCCGCCCCAAAGCCATCAGCCCCTACCACCTCCGCAGCATCATGCTGTGGGCCTGCGACCGCCTCCCCGCCAACTACCTGGCGCAAGACGACTTCTCCGCCCACTTCCTCCTGGGCCTGATCGACGACCTGCAGCACTGCCTCGTCAACAAGATGTGCCCCAACTATTTCATCCCTCAGTGCAACATGCTGGAGCACCTGTTGGACGAGACGGCCATGCTGCACGCCCGCAAACTCTCCTCCGTGCGCTCCGACCCAGCCGAGCACCTGCGCACCACCATCGAGCACGCCAAGGCCGCCAACAGGCTGACGGTGGAACTGCAGTGGCGGGGCAGCACCAACAACCTGCCATCGCCGCAGTCCGACGCCGGCGGAGAGAACCAGCCCGACGACCGGCTGGCCAAGAAGCTTCAGCAGCTCGTCACGGAGAATCCGGGCAAATCCATCTCAGTCTTCATCAACCCGGACGACGTCACGCGGCCGCACTTCCGCATCGATGACAAGTTCTTCTGAGACTGACTTCCTCCTCCCTCTCAGCCTTTCTCCTCCTCGCCTTGTCCCCACCTCCTCTGAAACTTTGTTTTTTTAATTTTTTTATGTTTCTCTGCCACAGAGTGAAGTGAGGTGATCGTCTTGTCGTGTCTGCCACAATTTTTTTATTTTTTATTTTTCTATTCCCGTCCCCACCTCCTCCTCTTTCACTGTGTGCCCTGTGGTTTTTACCTGCTGAATGCCTTTTACACACAGCTGCACAGCAGCAGGTTGTTTTACAAATGAAGGAAGAGATGGAAGTCCACCTTCGGCCGGCTCTGCTGCTCCAGTGTTCGTAGTTTGTAGTTCAATATAATTATCAGGGATCCTGGAAATGAGACGAGTCCACCAACTCCTGAAATCGTGACGTGTGTCTCACGCCAGACTCGCTGTCGTTTAAATTTGGCGCTGAAGCTCTGACGGCAGAAACGATGTGAAAGCGAGGAGCTGGGCTAAAATCAGCTGCTTTGATACGAATGTGGGAATTTCAGTGCTGGCGTGGCCAAAGCCTCAGTTTTTATTTCATTTTTACTTTTCTGTGATATAGTGAAGAACAATCAAAGCATAAATAAATAAATCCTATTTCTGCAAAGACTCAGCATTTCCACTGTTCACCCGTGCTCTTCAGGCCTTCTGCAGTTCTCATGTTGGACACCAGCCGAATTCTGATCGATGGAGATCTGATCCTGAGCTTTTCAGTTTGTGGACTTCAGCTGTTCCACCTGCTCCTTAAAGACCAGACAAACTAAAACTCCTCAAAGACGAATTTCTCCCAACGATTTAGGAAGAATTCGGTGACAATCTGTTTGTTTTCCAGCACGATGAAGCTCCAAGTTACACGCCTCAGGTGATTACTGAGGCTCAGAGATCATCACATTCATATTTGGATCCGTGCATGGATCATTGATGAGGCAGGACTGCATTTGTCCAGCAGAGAACTGCAGGAGTCATGAAGGTCGGTCTAAATGCTGACCAGTGCAGAAAAACTGAAGCGAGCGTCAGCTGCTCTTCACCTCCACGCGCTCGTTCCTCGTGATGACACGAGTACGAGGTTTTCATAATTATGAGCAAGTTACTCAAAATATCTAATGACTCGTTTTCCAAACCAAACAGCAAGTTTTCGCAGCAGCTCGGCGTCGAGCATTTCAGAGCTCGCTGATCGGACGGCGGACGCTTTCAGGAGCTGCGGACAGCCTGAAGTGTCACATCGAGGAGCAAAAGCAGCAGAGCTCGGACGAAGGTGGATTTTGTCCCTCTGAGGAATGTCTTAGTCCCACCGCGGGACGACGATCATGGTACTAACGTCTTAGAAACTAACTGTAAAAAGGAACAAAGTGACTGAACTCTGACATGTGTGGGCAGAAGGAGGAATAGACTGACGATGGTTTGTCGACTACTTTTCGTCTGATTTTGCACAGAATGTAAAAAAAACAAACACCGCCGTGTTTCCTCTCGATGGCGGACGCCGTGTCCTCCTCACTGTCGAATGACGGTATATCATATCAGTTGATGGTGACACTTTACCGACGCGTGGTCGCAGTGCACGCTGTAGATGTTCTCATTAACCGGCAGAGCTGCAGTGATTGTGATTGGTCCAAAGACGCAGCTTCCCCTGATGGAGTCGGCTGAGCTGCCGGATGGTGTTGCATCTCGTTCGCGCTCGCAGGCTCACGTTCTGACAGACGCCCTGGATCCCGTGTAGTTTGCAATGTTTTCCCAGTTTTCCTCATTTCAGTTTGTTTTGATGAGCTTGAGCGTAGTCCAGAATCCTTCCAGACATTCCAGGGTCCAGATCCAGACGGATGGCGTAGCTCGTGGTCCTGATGGGGGCGTGGTGGGTTTTGGGCCTGTGCGTGTGAGCGAGGCGTAACAGTTTGGGACTTGAAGCTCACAGCAGCGTTTCTGTTTACTGCTCAGGTTAATCTGCTGCACGGCGACCGCAGTCAGTAACGTGTCACTTCCGGCTCGATATCACCGGCCTCGCTCGCCACTTCCTCTTTCTCCATCTTGTTTGTTTTGATCACTATTTAATAAGCTTCACTGTAACTTAGTTTATTATTTCTAACCTGACCGATGTTTACTCCGCAGCTGCTTCTTAGTGTTTGGATGTCGAGGGTTCGACTCCCCTTCAGCGCCGCCAGCTCGCCACGTGATCGTCGGCCTTTCAGGTCGCTCACAAAACATTGGGACCAAATCCCGATTGGGACTTTTTACACTCCAACTGTAGGTGGAGGTTTGGTGTGATGGAGCTCCAGGCTGGTTTCTGGCACAGTTACTGTGCAGTAAGCAAACGCTGTTTGGCTCCAGAAACCACCGATTATGTGGCGAGCCTCAGTTTGGAGCTCAGGCAGCTTGGCTGCGGGATGTGTCTAATGAGATGGTGCTGTGATGTCATTACCACCACCTCTACAAGGGTTTTTTTGAGGGGCACAAATCATCACAGATTTAGCCACATGACCATCAGACACTGTGGTGTCGTGTTTATATACAAGGAAAAGAAAAATGTGCTTCATCTCAGCTTCAGCCTCTGTGAAACCTAAATATTGATTACAGAGTCAGAGCCTGTGCTCAGCTCTGATTGGACAGCTGAAGCGCGACTGCAGTCAGCACTAATGCGAGCAGCTCACTACAGCTTAAAAACACTAAAGCAGATATTTTTGATCTCCTGACGTAAACGAGCATCGGCGACATCTGCCGCCTTCAGGATGCGACTGCGCGCCGGCGTGTTTGAGCCGCAGCTGGTTGTGCCGAAGGTGAGTCGTCCCAGGTTTGTTTTGTTTTTTTGTCAAAGTCTGAAACATTTCCAGGAAAATGCAAAAAACCAGAAAAAGAATCTGCAGACGTCTGCAGACAATGCGATCTCCATATCCTCATCCTCAAGTGCAATTAGTGAACACAGAACAAGTACACACTTATACAAACGCACATATACGTCATGTAGCATTAAGACACTGAAGTAAGTTAAAGCTGAACGGTACACTGCTCTGCCGACCCCACAGACCCGCACTGACACTCCCACTCAGAGGTTTTTCACACCATCAAAGTGCCGCACCACGCTCTCCTGCTCGGTGGAAATGTAATCAGTGTGTTCTTCTGAGCTCCGTGACTTTTGACCTTACTGCTTTCTCTATTTGTTGAGAACCTTTTGACTGTGAGTTTTTATTTTTCTGTACCTCGCTGCTCTGCTTTGTTATGACGATGGATTTCTTTATGCAACGTAGACGTGGGTGGGTGTATCCCTTCAGATGGCAGCTCCTCCCCATCTGTGAAGGCTCTTCGCTGGATTTCACTATAAAGTCTTTTAAGCTGAATTTCTCTCTACGTCCTCAGTGAGTCTTTCTCAAATTTACATCTAAAGTTCTCAATAAAATGAAACCTTAGTTTACATTTCATGAAAGGAAAAACAGTTAATGAAGTTCTGCATCAACTTCAGTTCTTAATAAGTGTAACTGACATCTCGGTGTCATCAGAAAAGTAAATTAAACTGCAGAATATGAGCATCAAACCCTGGAAAGTCTCGCCTCCACAGAGTAAATCAGGCTGTCATCTGCACAGCGATCGATTCTGTTGAAGAGTGGCTGAGAAGAAAAACACTCCAGAAGTGAATCTGGGGCGGCGCCACTCAGATTACGATTGTCTGCAGTTTTAGGGAACAACAAGAAAATTCAAGATTTGGTCAACAAGGCCTCACGATTGAACCCTGGATTGTGCCACTTCAGTTGACTCATTAGCTCATGTGATTTGTTTTACAAAATTTGCATTGCACAGATTTATTTATCTTAATTATACTACAGTTAGAGACCAGAATAAAGACGGGAGGCCTCAGGATCAAACATCAAACCTGCTATTGGATTTGTGGTTGACATTTAAGTTAAACAGGGAGCTGTTTATTTATTAGTAACGTTTGTTGGACCATAGAAGAAGAAGGAAATGTCTTTATCATCTGCGTAGTTCTCAGATATGAGAGCCCAGAACTAATTCTTAGGCTACGTCCACACGTACCCGGGTATTTTTGAAAGATTTTTCTATGCGTTTGCACCTTTCGTCCACACGTAAACGCCGTTTTCGGTCACTGAAAATGGAGATTTCTAAAAACTCCGGCCAGCGTGGAGATTTTCGAAAACTCAGTTTTTGCGCTTACGCATGGACGAGAAAAACGGAGAAAACGCAGCGTCAAAGGTGTGCGCCTTTTTTGACGTCACACTGTGCGCCACGTTATTGTTTCGGTGAAATGAATTTCTACAATACTGTTAATTCTACTCTCTGCAGTGTTTAAATGCTTACATATACACACAGTTACTGTCCCTCCACACACACGACTCTGTTCTGCTTCTATGCCCCAGCTTTGTTTACTTTTTCCCACCGAGGCTTCTAGACTTCTGATTGGCCAACATTTCTGCACGGTTAGGAATATATCGCCACCTGCTGCTTTGGCATGTTCATAGCAGCGTTTTCCTTCATTTGTGCCTTTATGTGTGGACGGGATTATTTTTTAAAACGAAAACGGAAAATCTCCGTTTTCAAAAATACCCGTGTACGTGTGGACGTAGCCTCAGAGTAAATTGAAAACACTAAAAGCTTTGCTGCATTCAAATAACTAAAGTTACGTAGAGGACAGATCATCATCTGCATAGAACTGAGTAAGAATCTGACATCTTATTGAATATCTGAAAGTCCATAATTTAATCCTGTCAACAGATATTAATGATATAGTTTTTGATCTATTAATAAATAGATCAAATAGGCCGTATGATACTCTGAGAGGAGTACATCTGTAAATAACGGGCCCATAATAGAGCCTTGACGTACTCCACCTTAATCGACTTTGCTCCATTTATTTAAACACCAACACTGTGGGACGAGAGCAGGTTCATGATCTCGCGTCGTACTGCAGAATTGGGCTCAGGAACAGGTTGAATCGAACCCTGGGGAACATCCCTGAGTAAGACCTTCAGAAAGAAGCCTCAGGTCTGCACATTATGTCACATTTATTACACACAGCATGTGTGTGTGTGATCGGTTTCCAGTACTGTCAGGTCACAACATGAACATCTGCTATCGTGTGCCCAATTTTTTCCCATGTATGGATAAAAAAACCTTCCTGCTGACCAAAGTTTAAAATGTTGAGCGTAGAAATGGGGATTTAGTATAATCATGGTCTTTAATTCTTCTATATAAAGGTGATCATTTCTGGATACAGAATAAGGAGATGCAGTCTTGTTTGCAGATGATGGCACACATAAGGTAACGTGTGCGCTACATTAAAGATGCTCAATCTTCTGAGAATATGACGTCATGCACGTGGTTGGTGCCGCAGGCCGTTGAAATAATGTTAAAATGACATCATAAGTCACATGGCCTCTGTGACACTTTAGACTCAGACACATTTAAAAACCATCCAGACTAAAGGTTTCAATCGGACACTCAAACACTTCGTCTAATTAACCCTCAGGCAGGGTGAGCTGGTGGATTCCTTCACTACATCCTTTAAGCAGCTTCCTCTCTCGACCACCGGGGGGAGCAGTGAGAGGAAGCAGCTCGCTCTGTGTGAGCGGGTATGATGGAGGGAGCTGTCATGTGAACGGAGGCTGTTTGTGCACACAGTGACTTTATCTCCTGTAATGTGGAACTACTGTTGTAAATAGCACTTGATAAAATAACTCCTGTCTGACTCTTCGTCTGCGTCCGCTTCATTCAGCCGCCCGGCGCCACACAGCTCATCTCAAACGCCTCATTTTGCTTCCTCCTAACCTTTCTCTTCTCTCCTGCTTCCTGGTGCCTCAGCACCTGTCTCCTCCACCTGCTCTCCTCTCTCCATCTCGCCTCCTGCTGGGTTTGGATCGCGCTCAGCTCTTTCTGGCCGCCGTCAGAGCGCTCGCCGTTCCAAGAGGAAACTATCCATCACTGTCCAAATATAACCACAGCATGTAAACACGCTGCAGGCTTTACTGCTGATGCTCAGCCTCGCTAAAATCCCCGATTTACAGAAAACACGAGTTATTTACTGATGATCAGCGACGGGGGAACCTGAAACCTCTGTGGGGTCATGTGACTGTGTCAAAACGCCTACAAAATAAAACTTTATTTAAAATCAGTTAACAACAGCTTTAAGCCCAGAAACTGTCCTGCAGTTTATCAGCGGAGAGCTAACCCTCTGTGGACCTGATGGGGAACAATGATGATTCCAGGATGTTCACTTTTTACAGCACTGCAGTCACTTTACACACTCACTTTGACTTGACATCACCTGTGATTTACTTCCAGGTGGTCCCGCCCTAACCTGCTGATGTCGTTAACTCCAACTTTGGTTCAACAGATTTGTTGAGCTGTGCAGGTAAGCTTTAGGCAATTTAAACTGCCTCCATATATGTAGCAATGCTAAATATACTCCTGATAATAAGAAGGAAAAGCAACCCAAACAGCTCATTACACCTGAGCGGCGCACCTTTACCTCGCACAGCTGAATCTGTGGGTGGGCGTTGGTGCTGGTCTATAAATAACCCCTTCTTAACAACAATGTTTTCATAGCTCACCTGTTTAAATGGCATTATTAGGGGTGTGGTCTCTGACTGACAGGTGGATGGTGACACAGGAGTATCCAAGTGGTCTGAGCTCCAGCTTTGGTGAAATTCTCTGATTATATTTGGATGTCACGGAGCTCTGATTGGCAGGTATGGTACTGTGTGATGCTAACACACAGTCTGGGGTTGCTAACTGGCATTAGCTGATAACATAGCCTTCCATCCTCCGGTCCAAACATGGTCACATGTACTTCAGAAACCAGTGAGTCGAGCTATAGTAGCTAACGCCATCGTTCTTATACAGTCTGTCTGCTAACAGTAACAGCTGTTAGAGGAGAAATGTTTACATGCCCAATTACTCCAAACCAAATGCCACCGTAGTACCACCAGTGACCCAGGAGGTGAGCCTCTCAGAGCCTGAACCACGGCGTTGTTAACTGATGTCTATTCTTATTAATGTACAGAATTCACCTGCTTGCTGCTACTACTGCACATTCACCCAATGTATATACTACATATATATGTTCTTCCTCTACAGCCAGCCCCCCCCCCCATTTTTGCACATGTCGAGGAGCGTGTCAGGCTACATTTCACTGTGTGTTATACTTGTATAACTATGCATGTGACAAATAAAGAACCTTGAACCTTGAACGTTAGGTAAGAAAGTCCAAAAAAAGCCCACTCTGAGTGGATTTCTGTCTGCAGGGGAGGAGTGCTGCTTTTAATGTGACTCATCTTTCACCTTCTCTTCAACAGTAATTGCAGCTGAAACAACCTGATGTGTCTCACTGAACTGGCTGCTACCTGTAAATCCATCTTCTTTGTGAAAACCGAGGATGTTCCCTCCTTCTGATGGGAACTAAAGTAGTTTGGGAACACGTACGACAATAAAGGTGTCAGGCAGCCTTTATGTGCTGCTGTGATGTTGACTCCAGGCCGTCTTTGAGCTCCATTTGTAGCCTGAGTTTATTCCTGTTTAATCAGCGGTGCTGTTAACAGCAGCAGAGAGACCCAGCAGCAGCTGCTCTCTGCAGCGTGTCATGGATGTAGAACAGTTTAACAGTATGCATGGATTCTCAGGCAGGTTCTGAACTGTGGCTTTCTCTGATTAATGAGCAGATTTGTGAAGCTTTATTTGTGTTTAGCTGCTTCCTAAAACTGGGTTTCTACCTCAGAGTCGCGTCCTGTCCTTTGAGGCTAGCATGCTGTTCCTGCTTCATGTCATTGCTGGGTTATGGTGATGTTATTTATATGCACGAGGCTTACACAGCATCTATGACAGAGTACTGAGATTCATCACAAACCTCAGCTACCCACAGACTCAGGAACTCAGATGTAGATGCATCTACATCTGAGTTCCTGAGCTTCATCAATCACAGAACTGTGGCCTTCAGTCCACAGACTCATCTCTTTCCAATTCAGTGCAGCTTTATTGATATAGCACCAAATCACAACAACAGTCCTCTTCATATTCTAAAGCAGTAGTTCCCAAACTTTTTTTGCTGGGCCCCCCTTTGTTTTACAAGAAAAATGTTCGCCCCCCCCCCCCCCCCCTTCTCGCGCGTGCACGCGCACACATGCACAAACACATCCTCCACACGCCCATATTTTGCTCCATTGCGGTTTATTTCACACCTCAAACATTTAGTAAACAATTAAGCAAATACAAGTAATCTGCAATAAATTACAGGTAGCAATAAAATAAACTATAAAATAAACTCTTTTACGCTGCGTCCACACCTACACGGGTATTTTTGAACACGCAGCTGTTTCGTCCACGTAAACGACGTTTCGAATCATTGAAAACTGCGATTTTTTAAAACTCCTTTTTTGTGTTTACGTGTGGACGAGGAATACAGAGTTCGTCACGCAACGTCAAAGGTATGTGCCTTTTTTCACGTCACGCTGTGCGCCACGTTATTGTTTACATGAGATGAATTGCAGAATGATAGAGACGAAATACTGTTAATCTGACTGTCTGCAGGTTTACACGCAGTTACTGTCCCCCTGTTTAGAAAGGCAGAGGCGTCACGCTGTGATTATTTTACTGTATGTGTAATAATATTCAACATTGCTATCAATGCATTTTTCAAAAAATGCCTCTCTGTGCAAAATGGGTTTAAAAACATAAACAGCTGTGGGATCCTGTTTGTCTGTGATTTAAACAGCAGCGCTGCTCCCGATGAAGGGAAAACCAACCCTGCAGGGAGACTTCGGCACCTGTGCAGGTGAAGCCAAAGGGAAGATTTGCTTCACCATATTTTCTCGTCTTTGGCTTAGAATGAAGTTGGTTTGGAAACATGTTCAGCGATGCTTCATCTCCCGCTTTGCGTTTCTGTGGGCGCCCCCTGTGCTAGCAGTGTCCAAGCGTTTTGTCTTTTTCTTCCCCCCCTTTTCATACCACGCCCCCCCTGCAATGGCTCTGCGCCCCCCTGGGGCTGGGGGGCGGGCCCCACACTTTGGGAAGGTCTGCTCTAAGGTAAAGACCCCACAATCAAACCACGCCCTATAAGCATGCGCTTGGTGACAGTGGGAAAGAAAAACTCCCTTTTAATAGGAACAAACGTCTGACAGAAGCAGGCTGGGGGAGGAGCAACAATCTGAGAGACTGGTTTTGACTGGTTTGGGGGAAAACGTGATCACATTTAGCTAAATCTTAAGGAGTTGGCGTCAGTAGAAGCATTTAAGGTGGCCTGGAGGCACCTGCGGGCTGCGAGGGTCCCACCTGAACATGACTGGGTCTGCTTTTGGCTCGAGATGATGACGTATTGTGATGTTTGCTGATGAATCTGTGCTCTGCGGTCGTTTTAGTGTTTAAATAAAGCAAAACGAGCAGTGCAGGAGACCCTTCACACAGCTCCCCGTGCAACACTTCCTTATAGTTAACGGACAAGCAGTGCGCATGCGCGATGGGCCCCGAGTTTTGCATGTTTTTTTTTTCTTTTCTTTTGTGCACGGAGGTCGCGGGTTCGACTCCTTCTCTTCCGTTGATGCCCTGCGGTGGGATGGGCAAGACCCCGTGCCCTAAAAGTTCCTTCATCACGTTTCCTCCTCACACCAATCAGCACCACCATCGTGTCACCTTAACAGTGACGTCACTCCTGTGCTCTCCTGCCTCGAGCTGCAGCAGCACAGAGAGAGAGAGAGCGGCGCGCGGACACAGCTCAGGTGAACGCACGAGCCTCGACGCCCGCAGGAAGAAAAAAAAACGGCGAAGAAGCAGCTGCGGAGGATCTGAGAGCAGGTCCCGCGGTGCCTCCCTCCAGCTCTCCCGGTACCATCCACCCATCAGCGGTTCATCGGTGATCACATCATCCGAGACTCGACGCTTGTTGATAACAGCTGATTAAGGAAAGAAGGAAGGAAGCAAGGAAGGAAGCAAGGGACGCAGGCTAGGGGAGCACCTCGCCTCGGACATGGAGCTGGTTAAAGAGAAGGCACCCCCAGGTAGGACGGAGGGATGGGTGGATGAAACGGTGCATGGATGGATGGAAGTTTCCCTCATCCTGTGAGGGTGGATGAGAGGAACTTGGTGCTTTTTCCCGCAGAGGGAGGTGGATGGAAGGGTGGAGGCAGGATGAAGGGGACCCGAATGGATGGATGGATGTACGGGTGGATGGGTGGAGGGGACTGATGCATGTTGGGTAAAAGTGTACTGCGGTATCCTGCTGAATGCAGCTGCACTGGAGCTTTTTAGGTGTGGTTATTATGGGATGGGGTGCAGTGTGTGTGTGTGTGTGTGTGTGTGTGTGTGTGTGTGACAGAAGCCTGATGCAGCAAACACACACAGGCAGGCAGACAGGTGAGGGTGGTGATGCTGACTGATGCAGACACATGGATGACGGGTGTCAGGAGGACTGACGGACGCGGAGCGACTGAGCTGCTGTTGGTGCAGTGATGCTTCGCCTGGCCGTCCCGGGCTCCACGGCAACACAACTTAAAATATGGTTAATTCCATTCACACAACATCGCCGTGGACACCGGCCCAGAAACAAGCCTCAGAGACGCAGATCCAAAAGTTCTCCCCAAACATCAAAGGAATACTCGTGAATCCCAGGTCACCATTACAGCGATCCAGCTCTGACCTCAGCGGCAGCTGATAGTTTTATTAAACCCAAAGCTGAATTCCTCTCTTCGTTCTTTGTGTGACGATGTCAGACTCAGCTTAAACTAAATTCATCTGAGAATATACATTTACTCGATTTATTATTAAAATAACCAGTAAGAACAGGACCACGGTAAAACAAAAAGAAAACAAGAACGTTCATTTGGGATATTTTAATCATTTCCTCCTAATTCACTGCTCTTAAGGCCTCGTGCACCTCCTCGCACACGGAGGCGAGCAGCGGAGAAAACAAGTTTGAGTCAAAAACCTTCAAACATAAAACAAACTTCCTGCTCGCTTTTAACTCCACGAAACAGAACTGGAGGAGACTCGGCGCCTCCCTCTTTGTGGTGTATGGATCCGTGCAGACGAGCTGAAGACGCTCAAAACACGTGTCACCACGCGGCATCCATCTTGAAATCCTCCAGGCGTTTTGTTTGGTTGTTTGTATTTACGGATTACCTGTAATTTAAAGTTTTGGAGAAATGAAAACTGCATGTAGAGAAAAACTCTCTGAATCTGAGAGAAGCCATTTTTATCCTGGCAGTGAAGATGCTGAGATCCAGATGTGGCTGAAGGTGGTTCTGCTCGTATTTTAAACTTTTCTCTGCTTTAGCAAACAAGTCCAGCTGTCTCGTTCTCCTTGTGTCGTCTCATTTTTGTGGTGGAAATGCTTCCTCCGGTAACCACGGTTACATTAGCAACGCTAACTCAGCTGTAAGCTGCTGCATGTATGAAGCTTTTTAATGAGCCTGGTTCATTTTAAGTGTCTAACTTGTTGATGAAAATCAATTTATGGCAGCTGCAGTAAAATCAGGTCACTGCTGTCAGCCGAGCACACGAGGAAGCTGGTAATGCAACGCTTCGATTGCATCATTCCTTTATCCTGGTAAGCGTCTGATTGCTGAGGTCTCCAGACTGCAGACGTGACAGCTGACCATCAACACCAAGATTCAGCCGTTACACCAGAGGCAGCACGGGGTCCACGACTTTCAGCCCCCGCCCTAGCGGCACGCCAGAAGTTTCGCACAGATTTTCGTGCTGTCTCTGCGCACACATGGAGAGGCTGCAGCATTAGCAGGGTTAATGCACTTCCTGCAGTTATATTTCCAGCTGGTTTCCTGCACCCACTCTGTCAAAGAAGCTGATCATACATGTTTCTCATATTTGACATAATTCAAATTTTGTTCACCTGTGCCGTCATATTTTCTGCTTTAAAAAATCCACATTTTGAGGTTGGAGGGGTTGGTGGTGATCGTGTTATTTGGCCTCTGGGTCTCTGTGAGCTCCACACTGTGAGGAGCAGTAAAATGAAGTGTACTCGGGCTGAGAGGAGGAAGGAAGAGCTTGTGTGGCCTGAATAACAGCAGCATGTGGTAATCTTTATCTTAGTAATAAATAGAAAGTCCCAGAGTTTGTATTCTTATGGCTCCTGAGTTTGGCTCCACCATCAGATCTGTCTGTGTGGAGTTTGCATGTTCTCCCTGTGCTTGCTGGGTTCTCCAGCTTCCTCCCACACTCCAAACATGTGCAGTTAGTGGGGTAAGGTTAATAGGTCATTCTAAATCACCCATAGGTGTTAATGATTGTCTGTCTTTATGCGTTAGCTCTGTGACAGACTGGCGACCTGCTCAGGGTGTACCCTGCCTCGCCCAGACAGCTGGGATAGGCTCCACCCCCACTGCGACCCTGAATTAGACAAACGGATGGATGAAAATATTCTTAGAAATATTTATTGGTCATGTTTTCATGTAAAGGTTGAGCAGATGCTCATTAATGTGTCTGCAGTGTTGTTCTTACACTGCCCAACAAAACAAGTGCACAGCGGC